GAAAGAGGGAGGGAGGGGAGCTGGCTCCAATAGCTGAAACTTCTTTAGAAAGTTGTAGGGGAGATAAAATGCAAAGAGGAGATAAAAGCAGTCTCATTTTCACATCCGCCCCTTCCTTACCCAAACAAGGTCAGTGGCAGACAGACCACATCAATAGTACTAACCAGACCCACCCTCATTTCCCACTTCCTCTATGTAGGCATCTTTATACTGGTTGACATTTGGGGACCAGTTGTGGTCACTACTCTGAGAGAAAAGGTACTGTGTTTTATATCCCTACACATCTCCTACATGTTGCCTTTGAAATAAGGCCCCCAAAAGAACTTTCTTCAAATTGAGGTTGCCATTCCTTTTAGACTTCCCCATTTTTGTCCACATTTTTGAAAACCTGGCCAAAAGCTAATTCAAAGAAAAGAAGGCCAGCTACCACACAGTAACATCTGCAACAGTTAAAAACCTTCAACTTGCAATGCACAACTTCCTGGCCTTTGTGAAAAACAACCTATAAATTTCAAATTTGATTTCAGAGGCTTTGCATATCCTAGACTGCTTCAATGTGATGCTGCACACAAGGAGAGAAATTAGGCTATTCGGAGTATTTTTGCAAGGACATTTTAAACTAATATTTCCAGCTTTCAGGGACTGCCTTCAATTAAGATTGCCCTGCTTATTACCTCATAGTACTTCCCAATTCCTCCACATTTATTTTTCTCTCTCCTGTACAAGAGTAGGTCTGTTTGTTGTTCTCTCTGCTACAGCATAATTTTAAGTCTGACTCTCCCCCTCTAAGTGTTCCTTTACACCTGTTAAAACCTGCCATAATTTATTTTTCCTTGGCTGAGTCTTATTCAAACCAAATATCATTCAGGTTACTTAGGATCAATTCAAAGGGATCCTTCTCAGCTCTAAGGGAAAAATGTTCCTTCTAAGACAATCTTCTGTGTGTGGAAAGAGATTTGAGGCAGGGGGCAAGAATTATCTGTGAAATGCATTCCTCTTTGCTTCTCT